CACCGTAAGTCCGGTTTTGTGGACCAGGCAAATAAAGCAGCAAGAGAGAAACAATCTAAGAGATTTACCAAACATTTCCTAGTAACTCTGGGGCAATGTTCAGTGCAAGTCACCAAAGACTGAATTTGACTTCCATAACTTAAAGCCATTCTATTGCCTCTCCTCAGTCCTACGATAAATTTACAGTAACACCTCTACTTGGTGTTCAAATTAAAATAGTGATCAACAACAAACAGTGAGAATTATTTAGAGAAAAAAATGTAAAACCTTTCATTCTTTTTTTAAGGTTTGAAGACATAGTAGGAAAACTGAGATCAAATTGATTGTGCTTAAATAAGGCATTTTCCAGGTTCTGCAGGGTTGGCTTGCCAGCTTTTTTCAGCACGTTCAGAAAGCTCCTATCGTTATTAAACTAGAACCATCTATTTAGAAATACAGTTAAAACAGTAAATCCACTGTCACAGGCCTTACTAACCAGTGATTCAGAATTACAAGATGTGTTATGAATGCCATAAACCCCCCCAAAACAGCTTTAGCTTTGTTCTCTCTTTTTTTACTTTTCCCCTGATTTCACAAGACTTCTGTTCCACTCTTTGCATGTCCTTAGAACAGAAGTTAATAAGAATCATTAAATAACTCTTTTAGTAGACTGCTAAAATAGAAAAATTTACTCCCCGGTTTCCTGAACAACACTTTAGCCAACACTATAAATATTTTTTCCATATTAGCACATCATACACATTGTCTTCCATTTCGGATATAGCTATATGCTTAGTTTTACTTCTGAAAGTTCATTTTAGTTGTCCACAAAACTATACAACTTCAGATGGTTTCAAAGTCAGTATATTAGATAATCTCCAGTAGCGAACTCTTTCTGTGGCTGAAGAGCCTAAATCCAAGCAATGAAAGGTCTTAGTCAAGGTTCCGAGTTGAATATAAAGGATAGCAACTCAGGTCAAATATCACAGCCTTACTATGCAGAGTAATATACACAGGCTGCACTTCATCTAATTACTAGCTATGAAAAAAACCTCCTATTTGGTTCATGTTTATTGCATTTACTTCACTGACTCAGTATTACTGAGAGCACACCAAACCAAGACTCATTTCATAGTCACATACATTAGAGAATTTATAAAGATCGGCCTTTTGACTTAACAGTGTTGCTATTTGCATTTCATTGCTTCAGCCCACCTCTTTGTTTTTAAGTAGTATGAAATCAAACCATCCTACTATACTACTTATTTGTAAATCAAAACCATTCAAAGTGGGGAGGGAAGAGCATTGGGGGAAGATGTGGCAAGAATCAAGTTTTACAAAAAGAACAGACATTCTTCCTCAACTGAAACTTTGTACAGTACCTTAGACATCCAAACCCCACATCTTTTAAAGCAATTACAGCACAAACCAACACAGTTGAAATGTTGTCAAGACCTTAACCTTGACAACTGCTGACAACAATTCGAGATAAAAAAAAAAATATCTTATTTTCTTGAATAATCCCATTCATCTACTTAATTCACACTTGTCCCAAGTATTTTGCTAAATGAAACATCTACAATACCAACGGGGAGGACTGCCCAGGCCACAACAGCTTTGCTGACATGTCCCAACATTATTTGAGTACTCGCAGTGGCACAGATCAGTCCTTCCAACTCACCAGTTCAGCACTGCTAGATGCAGTGCAGATCACAGACAAAAAAACCCTAATCCAATTACTTTAAAAAAGTGTAAACCATACTGTCCACAAAGAGAAAACACGAAGATGAATTAGTTTCATCTTTATTCATTTCCTGTACCAGGTACAGTAAGTAGTTTTCAGTACATGACAAGTATCACATCATTCTACTCTAATACTACATCTTCTCACTGACATCCAAAGGAGCTCCTGTCTATAAGTACAGGCCTCCCATCATTATCTCAGTGGTCTAGGAAAGGGTGTGGTATGCTGTGCCCACTATCTAGGACAAAACTGTCTCTCTGAGGGACACTAGTAACACTGTCCAACCACCAGAGTCTTCAGGCCATGGCATTAACAAACATCTATCCGGTGTCCCTTCACCATAAATGCACTCCAACAGTCCAAGCAAACACAGTTGGTTACCTCCTCCTGCTAAATTCCCTTCACAGGGGTATCTTTCTTGCAGGACCAGGCCATTCCTCCACAGACCACTCTACTAGACAACCCCATAGCCCTCCTCCCTTGCACAGGGTGGTGCTTACACGTGGCACAGGGTGCAAACTCACCAGAACAGCACTGTCTCCAGTCATCAACTACATCCCACCAGCTCCAGTTTCCCAGCACCACCACAGCCACTGCAAGGACATCTCCCTGGGATGGCTGCTGTAGGTGTCCAGCATTTCTTTAACTTCACTACAGGCAGAGGGCAGCTGCATGATCACACTATGGGGAGCAGTGGTCCTGTTTCCACAGATCTGCTAGATCACTCTAACTGTGGCAGCTTCTCCACAACAGCCTGCCAACCCAGCACAGCTTGTAATTTGGTCACTTCCAACCAAGGGCCACCTTTAAGCGCTCAACAGTAAACATTCCTGTTACCACCACTCCATTACTCTGATAAAGACAGTCAGCTCCCAGCTCTGGACCTGCCAAGGTGGCATCTCAAGAGCCCTGCTGGAAGCACTCTCTTCTCCAGCAGTCTCACAGGCTGGGACAAGACCACCCCAATTCATATCCATTCCCTTTGCAACTGGCAAGTTTTCCACCTGACAACATATTGTTTGCATTAACTCCCCCGTACACAATACATACTCTTGCAATGCAAATCCCCAACAACAAAAAAAACCCAACTCCTTTCAAGTTTCACACCCCTGCAGGTGTGAAACTTCCAGCCCCAGGCCACACCAGGTCCAGCTGCTACCTGCAGTCCCCACCAATTACTGTCACGGGCAAAACAGTCTCAACTCAGGGAATTCTACTTAAATTATTGCCAATTTAACCAGCAATTAATTACCGATTTGGTTATTCAGAAAAAAAGAGAAATAATGAAACTTTTAGGGAAGAACCTTCAGTCCTCCTCCTTCAGGCTCAGCTTCAGTCAGAGACCTTTCCTCCCCACCTTTCTACCTGAACTGCTCTTGTTTTCACTGCTCCTGACGCTTGGTCCCTCCCAAGCCCTTCAGCGAGGCGACGCAGGAGGCGAGGGTCAGTGTGTAATGGTTTTTCTGCCACGCCTTGCTTCTTACTCATTTTCCACCACTGCTGGTTGCGTCTTAACTGTTACCATGCTCCAGCAGGTGCATCTGCTCTTGTGTCACTTACCTACAGGTTGCAATCCCTTGGCAGTCTCTGTCCCAGTATAGGTCTGCCATGGGCTGCAGTCTCCTCAGGGTGTCCCCACCCCATCATAGGCTGCCCACGGGTCACAGTGCCTTCAGGGTTATGCATACTTGCTCTGGCATGGCTTACCTGCAGCCCACAGCCCATTCAGGAGTGTTCCTGCTCCAGTGCAGCCTCCACTTGAGGGTGTAGCTCCTGTGGCAAGGACTGCCCAACAATGCCCCCTTCCTCTGGCTCTCCTCTATTCTATCCTCACTTCTCATCCTTTTTTCCTCCTGTTTGTCCTCTCATATGTCTTCCCCCATATCACCATTTGTGTCTCCTGCCTCTTGCAGCTGCCACTCTTTCTTAAAAGATTTATGAGCAGCAGCAGCACCGCACATGATTATCTGATAGGTTGAGGTTTTAGCATGCAATGGGTTCTTTTCGTCAGCTTCAAAGCGGCCCAGAATCAGCTGTGACCGCAGTAGTCCATGGCCTCTTCCCCCACCAGGCACCCTTGCAGCTTCCCAGTACAGAAATCCCACCGCTTGTGCCCAAGAAAACCTATACAGCTACTTGTCAAGAAAGAAGGTAATTATTCAAGTAAATATAAGATCTTAAGACAACTGAAATACAGTACAGAAAAATACTCAGAGCTTATAAGTGATTTCTTATAAAAAAAAGAGCAAGGCAACCATGACCAAGGGCAGCAGAAGCAAATCTCTAGCACCCAAGAGTTTAAGAGGTTGCCTTCAACAAGGGCTGGTGTTTATCACAGATAAATATCAGATGCACATGGAACAGCAAAAAAGGAGACCGGATAGGGCACAAGTAAAAGCAAACGGAAACTCAAGATATTTTCTGAACCCTGTAGTGATACAACAGCAGCCTTTTATTTAAGAGAGTAAAAACACAGTCTTCTACAGAAAGAGAAGTGTGTTCTTAATCCTTTCCCCACATACCCATGGTCAACTCGCCTGCCACGCTGAAGTGGGAATCTGCTTTGTTTGTCAGCCACCAAAACAAACACTCCTCATAAACCTTTGAAGCATTTTTCCTTAGAGTTATCCAAGAAGGGTCTGGACACCATATATACTTCTTTTTACTAGTACTACCATTATTTCTGAGGGGGACAAAAAAAAAAAAAAAAGGAGTATTGATAGCTAAAATCCTGTTTGATCAGCAGAGGGTACTGCGCTAGTTGGGTTGTTCTGCTGTACGCTCGTCGCACAGTCAAAAAAAACCCACACATTTTATCACCACTGTGCGTGTTGGCTCTCCCACCATCAGCAGAAAAGCCCAGCTTCACAGGTGCACCAGGAAAACAAACACAACACAAACCCCAAGCCCTCCCTATCAGTGCTAAAGGCGGTGGGGTGAAAACACAAGCCTAAAGAGAAGGGGTTCTCCCCCCGAGGAGCGATGGCAGGGGACATGGCCCCTCACAACAGCCGGGATGCGCACCGGGCCCCACAGGAGACACCGGCCCGCAGGTGAAATCCCCACAGCCCCGTTCCTGGGCCCGGGGGGGGCTCCCCGGTGCCTGACACCCCCGGGGGGGAGGCGGTGTGGTGGCGGGGGACGAGGCCCGCTGCCCCGCTCCTCAGCGGCGCGATGGCGGGTGGAGGGGGCGAGGGAACAACACACCGCCGCCATCCCCCCTCCCTGCCTCCTTCCCTCCCCTCCCCGCCGCCATTCCCCCACCGCCCGCGCTTACGTGTAGATGATGGACATGAAGTGCATGAGCCAGAGCACGACGAAGAGGATAAGCCCGAAGATGGCGAGTCCCTCCAGGGCTAGGGCCAGCACCGCCATCCCCAGGGCGCGGCGGCCCGGGCAGGAGCCGGCGAGGGGAGCGGGAGCGCGAAAGGAGGGAAGGCGGGCGCCTCGGCGGCCTGTCGGCGTGCGGGCGGGCTCTCGAAGTGTCTCCTCCTGCTACTGCTGCTGCTGCTCCTCCACCGGCCCGGCGGCCTCCGCGCACTGAGGAGCCACCGGCCCGGCCTGCCTGCTGCCGCCGCCGCCCCCGCCTTTCTGTCAGGCGCAGGCCCCGCCCGCCCCGCGCTGGCGGCCGGCCCCGGGGAGGCGGGGCGGCCCAGTCACGGGGATGGCGGCGGCGGCGTGCTTAGATCCGTTACCGCGCCTCCCCCGCCCCGGGCAGGGCCCGGCCCGGCCTCTCGCTCCGCCGCCGGCTGCGTGACCTTGGGGGGTGGCCCACCTTGGGCCGGGCCGGTGGCACCGGGCGGCGGTGGCGACGGGCGGTCGCCAAGGAGGGTGCGATGGCGGCGGAGGCGCTCGGTGTTTGCCCTCAGGCGTTGCCGGTGGCTTTTAACAACGCCCCATGCCCCGCCAAGGCCCTGAGGTGGCCACGGCCCTCCATCCGCAGCGGGGGATCTGAGGGCCGCCCGGTGTTGCCGAGCTGACCCAGCTCAGGTGGGCCCGTAGGGCTGTGAAGCCGCTGATATTTGTTTTTTTATTGACTGTTTTGGGATCTGAAAGCTTTCCCGGTGACCTCGGGTGGCTGTGGGGTGGGATTGCTGTTGCCAGCAGAGGGGTGCCCCTGGAAGTCCCTGGTGGTGCTGGGCCTCCCTCAGCCCGGCCATGGCCGTGGCCACGCTGCAGCCACCTGCAGCCAACCCCGCCGTGGGGAAGCAGCCTGGCAGCCCCAACTAGACCAGGCTGCCCAGGGCCTCATCGAGCCTCACCTGGAATATCTCCAGGGATGGGGCCTCAACCACCTCCCTGAGCAACCTGTTCCAGTGCTCCACCACCCTCACAGTAAAGAACTTTCTCCTGATCTCCAATCTAAATCTGCTCCCCTCCAGCTTAAAGCTATTGCCCCTCACGGAATCACAGAATTGTCAGAGTTGGAGGGGACCTCTACAGACCATCCAGTCCAAATCCCCTGCTAAAGCAGGGTTGCCCAGAGCACATCACTCAGAGCTGCATCCAGGCAGGGCTTGAGGATCTCCAGGGAAGGGGACTCCACACCCTCCCTGGGCAGCCTGTTCCAGGACTCCGTCACCCTCACCATAAAGAAGTTTTTCCTCATATTTGAGTGGAACTTCCCATGTTCCAGCTTGAGCCCATTGCCCCTCGTCCTGTCACTGGGAACCACTGAAAAGAGTCTGGCTCCCTCCTCCTTCAACCCACCCTTTAGATACTTGTAAACATAGATAAGGTCTCCCCTCAGCCTTCTCTTCTCCAGGCTAAAGAGCCCCAGCTCTTTGAGCCTTTCCTCATAAGGGAGGTGCTCCAATCCCTCAGTCATCTTTGTTGCCCTACGCTGGACTCTCTCCAGCAGTTCCCTGTCCCTCTAGAACTGGGGAGCCCAGAACTGGACGCAGGATTCCAGTTGTGGCCTCACCAATGCAGAGTAGAGAGGGAGAATGACCTCCCTCGACCTACTGGCCACACTCTTCCCTACTCAGCCCAGGATTCCATTGGCCCTCTTGGCAACAAGGGCACATTGCTGGCTCATGGAGAGTTTCCTGGTGGATAGCAATTTGAGGGGATTCGTATGAAGAATCTTCCCAGTGCTTCTGTTCAGCTTTTACCGTTTACACTGGCGTTTTGGATCTGGGGTCAGAAACGTCAAAATTGCCTCTTCTGCTTATTGTGTAATAGGCAAACACACATTGCATTAACTGTTTTAAATTTAACTCCATTAATCTGGGGTGTGCTGCCCAAAGACAAAATTACTTGAGGGCCTTTGGCAGCATACTGCGTTTGCCAGATGCGGGGAATTTCTACTCTGAAAGAAGCACAGCCATACATAAGAGATTACAGTTACTTGCACATGAGAAGGTACATGCTTTCCTCAGGACTCTTGACCAGTAACACAAGCTGAACTTTGCATAAACTGAATTTTGCAGTGTATGCATGCTCGCTAATAGATTATTTTCTTCCACAGCTTTCAATTATTAATGCAGATGAAAAAGCATTTTTAAATTCTGCTTAAGAACTCAGTCATGGTTTTTTTAAAACACTCTAGTCACCATAATGATTTGAAGCTGTAGAAGAATTAAGTTTCAAGATAGCTCTAATTGTGCAGGAGAAGGTAGGATGTAGAGATTTAAAGGCAACTTACTGTGAGTAAAGCTAGGATCTTGTATGGTGTGGCAAGAAACTGACTAAATCTAAATTAAAAGCACAATTTAAAATGGAAAAGGTAAGAACAGGTAAGGCATCAGTCCATCCTAGAGCCAGCACTGCCTGTGTGGTCTGTTAATTCTTGCTTAATGTTAATTCCCACATAAATCATGGTGGCCAGCAATGTACCTTTACACTAGCTTCAGTGTTGTCTTGGTAAAACTTCCTTAAATTTTAAAGGAAAACAAGTTACCTTAATTTTCAAATTCCCCTATCAGAGATTGTTCCCATATCTCATTTGTAACTGAAAGTGGCAGTCAGTTTTTCATTTTTCTATTTGTTCCTGCAGTTAGAGTCTAACAATCACACTTATATTGACTTAAGATTGCCTTAGTGAGCTTTCTGTATATTTTTTTAGCCATGATTTGATTTGTCATGCTCAATGTTGGCAGTATCACAAGGATAGTCTACCCAGAGAATTATGAGCTGATACATATGAATTATTAAGAGTACAGCCGATATAACCCTTACCTGGTTGGGTTGGATTGCATCTCTCTTCCAGGGCAGAAACAGCCTGTGCAAAACATTAACCTGCACTAAAATACAGTGAATTTAGGGAGATTGAGGGCCTGTCTTTATTAGTCAGTTGAGCAAATAAGCACAGTTCATTAGACTTTTTCTAGTTTTGAAGAAGTATTGAGCTGAAGCAGTTAAGCTTATTCTTTGTCCTAGAAGGTGTTTGCCTGTGAGATTATGTTGAAAGGCTGCTTATTTTGCAATAGCTAGGGTCAATGTCTCCATGCAAACAAACTTTGCGAGGCTTCTTCATAAATAAAATAAATAAAGATTATTTAACTTGCTACTGACTCCTATACTTCAGCAAACCATACCAATGAAGGAGCAGTCCTCAAACAACATTATGCGGAAAAATACCAAGCTGGCATAAAAAACTTTGTTTTAGCAAAGATACTTCTTTCTGCCATCCTCTCTGGGACAGCATTCTGTCCTGCTGGCTTTGTTGTATGGGGAGAAAGAACTTCTTTCTCGTGGGGGGTTTCAGGTAAAAAGCTGCAGCACCCAAACTCAGGTCCACATCTGGTTTAAAGTAGGAGGCTCAGATATACTTTCAGGAGATTCTTTGGGAGTGTGGTGGAGGAAAGTCAGTAAGAGCTTTGACCTGAGTAACTGCTCTAGTCAAACCCTGTCACATGGGTAATTTAAGCAGATATATTAACCTTAGTGGGGGAGCAAAGGAGTCTGCCTCCAAGGCCAAACAGGATGTTGGATATGTGTAAGTAACCTTTTATTAAAATACCTTTTTTGTTCCTTTTCTTTGAATAAAATCAAATAAATGTTTGTTGTTATACAAATGTTTTATCTTGCAGCTTCCTCTTGTTTAATTCTCTTTTGTTTAGATTATAAAAAAAAAAGTATGCATTCATTAGTTGGATTTCATATATAGAAATGTATGCGATTGCTCTCTGCCTGTTAGTCTCCCTGCCTAAATGATTTCAGAACTTTATTCACGTTTTAGAGCACTTGTAAATATTGAGGAGAAGCCTATCTAGTTGCGGGGGGAGAGAGACCCAGCTTATCGCACAACTCTGCCAGTATTCTTTTTATTTGGCAGTAACAAGCTATCTAATCAGCATATGTAAAGTGGCCCCTGAGGTCTAACAATTGCAGCTCTAGGCTAGCTGTGGCACAGGCTGTTTCTTGTCTGGTAGATTGTCTAAAAAAATCAAACACAGAAAAATAAGACACCAGAGCTCTTACAAATGCCCAAGAATGGAAAAAATTAAACCTACAGCTTGCAGAAAGTCCTCGAAGTACAAATCTGTGAGGAATGAGGCTTCATTACATTTGATCTTCAGAAATCTTTTTGTAAGAGAATATGAAGGCGCTTTTTAAAAAAAATAATATTCTCAGACAGTATTGTAATATCCATGCAAATGTTTCAGTTACATGGTATTTTTCTTGAGAAACTGGTCCAAGTCTACACCAACCTATAAACCTCCTCCCAAGAACTGCTGTTGAAAGCAGTTATGCTTCTGCAGTCAGCATTAAACTGTGAAATACTTAAAGAAAAATTAGATTTAGAAAATCAAAGTAAATAACTTCACAGAGCTACAGAATAGTTGAGTTTGGAAGAGGCCCCTGAAAGTCACCTATTCCAACCTGCTACTCAATCAGGGTCAACTCCAGCAGTTTGCCCAATTTGGAGTCTGTCCCCATCTTATTCACTCCTCCTCAGCCAGGTATTTGTACACACTCCGGAGCCTTCTCTTCTCCAGGTTGAAGAATCCTAACTCTCTCAGCCTGCCTTCCTATGGGGGATGTTCCAGTCCCTCTGTCATCTTTGTCACCCTAAGCTGGACTTGCTTCACTATGTCCTCTCCTGTAGTGGCAACCATGTACTAATTCAAACCAGGATGCTCTCTGCCTTCTTTGTCGCAAGGGCACATTTCTGCTTGTGGTCAGCTTTGTGTCCACCAGTACCTCTGGACACTCCTCTGCAAATCTGCTGTCCAGAGAGTTGGCCCTCGGTGTACACTGGTGCCTGGGATTGTTCCTCCCCAGATGTAGGACTTGGCATTTCCCTGTATTGAACTACGTGTGGTTCTTGTTAGACCGCTTCTCCAGGCTATCAAAATCCCTCTGAATGGCAGTCCACCCACGTGGACATCAGCCATTCCTCCCAGTTCTCTATCATGTGGAAACTTTCTGAAGGTGCACCCTGTCATTCATGGGGATGTCAAACAGCATTGGCCCCACTATTGACCCCTGGTGCACTCCAAGTGACTGGACTCCAGCTGGACTTCTTGCCACTGATCACAAGGCTTGGAGCCTGGCTGTTCACCCAACTTTCTGTTACCATACCCTTACCTAGTTCATTCCTTGTCAGCTTGTCTATGGTCTTATGATGGAA